CCTTCCTGTCCTCTTTCGACAACTCTCGAACGTTGAATCGGTCTTTCTCTTTGCCCTTTCCTTCAGGGCATTCGAAGAATCTATGACCCTGCTTTTTGCATTTATAGCACAGGCCCTTCTTCTTCATCGCATCTATATCCATCGCATTTGGATCCGGGGTAGTTGTTACTGTTTCCCTTTTGACTTCTGTGGTCTTTGTGGTGGCGGCTGCATGGTTGTTGACTGGGGTTTTGTTAGCTTTCTCTGTTTGTGCTGACCCTGATCCACGTTTGTGTGCCTGATATTCTCGATCCATGCGATAGGTGCAATCTTGATTTGACGCTTCATTCATCCATTCTTTGAGAGTTGTCGGCATGGGACGTAAGCTCCAAACCAATTTCCTCAACCCATCGTTTAACCCAAGTTTAAACCAGTACAAGAGAGCTTCATCATCAAAGGCTGTCCTCCCCATGATTGCCTTGAACTGCGTGATAAATTCATCAGCAGTCCCTTTTCCTTGCTTCAAGTTGGTGAGTTTAGTCTGTAGCTCATCTTTGGTGGACGAGTACTTGAAGTAGGCAACCAGGGCGTCGCGGAAGTCCTTCCATGTCTTCAACCGGCTATCATCTTCTTCAACAATCAGTTTTCGTTGTAGATCTGCCCAGTTGGTAGCAACGTCATTTGTGCCGCCAACAACCATAGAGAGAGCATATATGATTCGCCCTTCATCTGTGTTAATCTTCTTTCCTTTGAAGTAGAGGACTAATGCGTTTACGAAAGCATCAACCTTCTCAGGTGAGCCTGCAAACTTCTCTGGTGGGGAAATATCTAGCTTTGGTTCTCGGTTCGTGAATTTGTCTATGTTTCCGGATATCCTCTCTGTTGCTGTGGAGGTATTTCCACTGGCGTGGGCGATGCTCTGGATCCATAGGAGTAGTGTCCGGAACAGAGCCCATAGGAGCTGCCAGAAATTGGCATGTTCTAGGTCAGGTGAGAAGAGGTTTCGTTGTTCATTGGTTAGGTGTGTGGTGACGGGGTCTTCGATAGGGTGGGGTTGTGGGTTCTCGGCGTTATCGCTCATGATGTACGAGGTTTCTGGGTACGGGTGTGGTGTTGTTTGTGTGGTATAGTAAAAGGTAATCTAAAGTCCACTACTAAACTGATCGAGATCTTATATTTTCGATCTTAGACCAGCTGTTCGTCTTCTTCTTCGCCGGCTACCTCACTCAGGTAGTTGTGGGTTGTATTGTAGGGGTAAATATCGTAATAACTTGTCTAGTTCGACTTTCCTTCAAAACTAAACTTGTTCTTCGTCAGTTGGCCTCGTAGGGAAACCAACCCCGGGTTGTATCGTATGTAGGTAAATGTATGTACGTAGCTATGGAGCCCAAGAACTACTATCAATTCGCAATGCCCAGCTGACGTCTCTCAGTTTATAAGCTGAGATAGCCGAAGTCTTCCTGGGAAGGGGAGTAGGCCCCTAAACTACCTCCACTAAAGGAGAATAGCCAAAGATCGTTTCAATAGAAGTGGCTTCTTTCACTGATCGGGTGCGCCGGACCTTCTTTGGGCAGCCAACTCAGCAAGACCAACAGTATACCCGGTAGTATACATGGAATTTTCCAATCACCGGCGGAAGGGGAAAGATGATGAGAGAAGAAAAGGATGAGGGTGTGGAAGGTTTATGAAATATGTAGGATCAAAGTTTCGGTGTAGCGCCTGCTATTAAAAAGCAGCTTCGGAGCCTTGTTTTTGTGCGATTTTAGCATAAAACAGATAAGAAATGACTAGGTAATACAAGTACTAGAGCGAGTCCCGAGCGGCTAGTGGGAGGCTCAGATCCTAGCATAAGGAGAGAATAGCACCTCGGAGGCATCTCTCCTTATCTCTGAAAACTGTAGGAGTTGTATAACTGACGAAAGTATCACTTCGGAGGCACGACTAGGACCTGTAGTCATAACAAGGGAATATCTCCAGTGGCTCGGAGGCATCGTACTAAGGATTAGAATAACAGAATCAGACTTAACGAAGACCCGTACTAGTAGGGATAGACAGAGGAAGTCACCGCGGAAGCATGGATGGTCGGAAAGCGAGACTAAGTCGAGCCTCAGAAGCTTGGTATAAGGTCGAGGCCTCGCTTTGGAGGCATGATTGATTCAAGTATACTAGGTATACTACAGGTTACGCTAGTCATCCATATTGGCTAGAGCTACCTCATCCCAACCGAAGTAATTATCTACGTCGGAATCTTCAGGATAATAAGAATCAATGAAGGTTTCATGATCTAGATAATCGGTATAGAATGGATCGCATAAAATAGGATTATAGAAAGAAAAGGATCGAGAGAGCCAACGACCCATGACAGGGGAATACTGGAAGAAAGAGAGCTTGGTATAGTCAAGCTTCGGAGGTGCTGGGCACTCAGCACAGCTGGCAACGGCGTCGATCCAAGCGTTGACGGCTCCAGGAGTACGAGCGGTTTTGAAGTCGAGGAATCCCACTCGAGCAATGGACTCGGCGACCATGTCGATGACAGACCTGGCGTTGTGAGGAATGAAGTGGTCAAAGGTGTCCTTGCAGAGATAGATTTCGTCCTGGATCATATCGTAACGAATCACGTAGCCCCAGTAGACGGATCTGTGGCGACTGAGGAAGAACTGCTGGAAGATGATTCCAAGGATAGCTTCTCGTTCTGCATCGAGTGGAATGGGTAGGATGATGCGGCGCTCCTTGATCTTATCAGAGTAATCTTCTGGATACCACCAGAGCTTATACAACTCTGGAGAGGGAGTCAGAAGGCCGCCTCGGAATCTAGAAAGTAGAAAGGCTTACTATAGAGTAAGTTGCGAAAGTGGTCTTCAATGTTATGCAAGCGTGCCATAATACGCTCGGGGAAAAGTAAGCAAGGAATTGGGACAACGTAGCACTTGCTTTTACTGACCTCTGGACTGGCCACTGAAATGGAAATTTTACTTCGGAAACTAGGAAATTAGCGCTTCGGAGGTGTGGATCCGAACCAGGCACTGGGCGCTAAACAATGATCGAGAAGTGATTGAAGGAGTTGCACCGTCGAGGTACCTCCCTTGTACTCGTACATGGAGATATTGACTGTAATAAGGGCATAGTTGGTGCTGGTGGCAAAACACAGTGCTCAACTGCACTGGGAGGCAAGGGACTAGAAAGAAAGGAATGGTGTACCAAAGAATCGAGTGGGAGTTCTGGCTGAACCATTGAACTATTACCCGGTATCCAAGGCACCAAGATTGGATATAGTGGGGCGGCCATATGGATGGCAGGACCTCAGAATTATCCGAGCTACGGAAAGGACATCGACCTGGCTATGAACGGCTGGGTAACTCCATGAATATAGGCATCTAGTAGCACTTCGGAGGCAAGTACTTTGCTTCAGACGAAGGGAGTATATGCTTCGGAGGCAGACAGAACAGGATGACCTACGACAATTGAAGGGTCTAGAACCGGAGAATCAACGCTGCGGAGGCAGATAGGCAGAACGGAACCATCGATAGGAGAGACCCGGAAGAAAAGAATGTTAGAGAATGTTCGAGGCTGATGATACTTCCGAAGCAAATTATTGGTTTTGACTTTGGGGTTCAAAAGCGTAGATTAAACACAAAACTCTCCAAGTATATTCCAAAGTAGGTAGTTTATGCCTCCGAGGCATGGTTTATTCGATATTTGTACAATTCGGTAGAATTAGAGCCTCCTAGGGTATATAAGCAGTGGGGTTTTCATTAAGAATCCCCAAGCAATCCGTACGATTAGTATTCAGAGGAAATGAAGCTATTCCACTTGTTGGGTAGTCAGTTGACTTGGGAGCGCTTCTGGAGAGACATTAGAACGGAATAGAACTTTGTTTGCCTAAACCTAGAAAAATCCATTGAACACTTGCTTGACCTTGACTTTACATTGTTTGTCTGCGACGCCGACTTGACTGGCTGAGCTATTGTTGAACTTCCAAAGCTAATTGGGCTGAGGATATTGTTCGCCGTTGACAGTTGGTCTTCGGTTATTGACAGACTTGATTGAAGTCTTTATTGCCATTGTTTGATTTGATTGTCTTGTTGCCCCTCGCTGTTCAAGTGGTTCTGAAGCTAGTCGAAGCCTAAGAACGCACTTCTGAAGCACCAAACAAACTCTACCTCCCCGAAACAACCTATAGACCTCTCTTCCGAACCCCACTTTTGACCTCCGAACTGGTTTCAGAGGCGAAGCTACCTTAGTTGGATAGTTTCTTGAGTCAGATTTCCTTCAGCCTACTATTGCAGTCTGGCTAAGAGCGGAACCTACGATCAACGCCGATCCCCGATTCCCGCACCCTTCAGCTACACTCTTGAGTGTTGGAAGGATTTGACCTACGAGTTAGATTTTATTATACACCACGAGTGGCGCTTTACATCGGGATAGGGGAAAGGATGTAGTATGAAAGATCAAGGGTTTGGGGTAGGAGAACATGCGACGGTCAAGAGGAATAGAGAAGTCTTGAGCTAATGTCAGCAATCACCAGTTCGGACCTGGTGACGCGTCGCACTAAGCTTTCAGACAACGAAGAATGAGGCAAAGAATAGAGAACTCAATACTGGTGAGGAATAAACCAGCTCAAGACTGGGGAATACATGCAGAGTATCTACTTCTTATATACTACTTGGAGGACTGCGGCGTGTGTCTACGGTGAGGTATGACATCGTGAAACAGTATCTGAAACAGGACCAACATGTGTCTACAGCATGTGGGTCCCTTCATGTATCTACCATGTGTCCATATGATAAGATACGAGTCATGTGAGGGATAAGATATAGATAAGATGGAAAAGGATAAGATAAGGAGAAAAGATAAGATAGGAGGGAAATTCATGACACATACTGAATACATCAATCAGTGAGATGTGAAAGAGTGAGCTTCAAACATACTTTGAAGTTCCTCGGGTGATTGCGCTGATGCAAAAAGAAATTTGTTGAGATGGTGATTGCGTATTGTATTGTCAACAGAAATCAGGACCACATAGCCCACCGCGAGGGTCGAACTCGCAGCCTTCAAATTACCACAGGCATTGACCATCAGTCGACCATCAGTATAAAAGTCTGACGCTCTATCCGATTGAGCTAGGCGGGGAATACTGAATTGAACAAAAATATTGATTGTTGTTAACGACTCTTTTGGAGGTCCACGCATCTGAATCATAACACTTCACTTTCAAGGTTGAGTAGGGTTCCCACGTTGTTGCTCGTGTACGCGGTGAACCTTCCAGACACAGATGTCTCGGGACATCGTCAGAGGAGCACTCTGTGCATGGATCATCGTTCAAATTTGTTCGGAACTCTCGGGGGATGGCCGCGATCAAGCAGCTACTTTCAGTGTTGTTCATTTGTGTTTTTCATCGCTGTCAGTCCCATCGTCTACCTCCGCCGAGCACTGGTATTCGGGAATAAATCAAGACAATATTAGTCACCGGTTAGGCGGGTGAGTAATCCTAATCCGGAACGCTTTGAACCGCAATGACTTGTGAACGTTTCAAGTTTGTCCGCCACTCAGCCATCCCTTCAAAACAGGCCCCCAATTCAGGCTATGTAGCAGTACACCGTAAACCTAGACGGAAATCTCGAGATTTGAACGACGGCGGAGTTTACTTCCCTTTCATCCGATTATTGCAAGTCCGTTAACCCGAGGCCCGCCATCGGGATCAACATGTCAAAGCTTGAACATCTTGTCCTTCATTGCGGGCCCTGAATCCAAGGTCCCCGAAACCATAAATCTACATCGCTTCAGCTCCAGATATATTATTGGCAGGTCATAGGATGGTCGATAAACGCAGCTCCGTCCCTCTCGATCATTCATCGATCATGGGTCAAAACCTTACGATACTTCGAGATCGTTCCTGTTGGCAAGATCGATTCTGGACCTCGGCGTAGCTACGATTTCGACGGCGTTCTAACTTCGGGTCCGTCGCCTCGTTCACAAAATCATGGAGTCTAGACGAGATCTGTGATATAGTATGCGGCCAGTTTCTCAAAACGACACTATCCGAGCAGCGGGTCAAGGCACACAGACTCCTTCCCGTTCTCCAATTCATCCGGCAATACGGAACCTAGAGAAACCGATGCTAGGGGCATCGGATGTTGCAATTCCCGGGTGATCGATTTATTGGTGTGCGTGCATATGGAAATTTTTCTCAAGAGTCGTGACTACTAACAGTTACCGTTTCACCTCGTCTCTACAGAGGACCGGAAATCAGTTCTGAGCTCCGACTGTGACCGTGCGACCCGTTACAAAGAGAAACTTGCAGGTCTTATACCATCGTGGCGTGGGAAATCACGAACTGCTCAGTTGTCCACGCCTGGACTCGGTCGTGAAACAGTAACTGTCTGTCACTAGCTAATGGTAGTACTATCATATTGATTTTCCCAGTGCTGGGAACTACCACTCACCTGGTAGGTAGGCAAGCAGATGACTTACCCAGTAACTCACCTCCTAAGATTCAGGTCCATGCCGCTGTCTGCTGCCACAGTAGTTCCCGATCAGTTGCGTACTGAGAATGAGGCCTTCCTACTCCTTGCCATCCGGTTAGGGGAAGCTCTTAAGGGAATTCGGAGGTGTTATAGTTCTCACCAACACTTCTTTGACATGCTAGCAAGATAAGTTGTGTTGGAAATGAGTCGAAAGCAAGTCACGGTGACTGACAGATACCAGAGAGCGATGGCTGCAATTCCGAGCTCGCCCCTCCATCTCAGGGGGTTACTTATGAGCTCGGGTGAGCTCATACCACCTTTAACTTCCGTTTGGTAGTGGCCAGATGATGAGGATTCAGAGAGACGTAACTTGATGGATGGGTGCCGCTTTTCTATATCCAATTTCGGTTTCGTACTACATAGTTCGTTGTGAGAATACCCACCCCCCCAAAAAATCAATTTACCTTCACGATAGCCCACCACGAGGGTCGAACTCGCAGCCTTCAGATGACATACATACAGCGCACTACATATTGCCTTTTGCATAATAGCGTGAACACGCGAAAAAAATATTTTGCCTTACGTCACCCGGTCCGACACATCCTGCCACTGGCAGCGCGAAAATTTGACCTCCGCCGGGATATCCTGCAGTGGCTCTGACTCTCCCTGATTGCAATGTGGACTGTTGATATCCACAAGTAGGATCATTTACCCTCATTTTGAGTGATCAGGGTACCCAAGACCTGAAAAGAGCCAGTTTTCATGATTGAAGTCGAAAAGCTCATTCCAAGCAGGCCACTCGAGGTTTCCAGCACCAGTGGCAGGAAGGGCGGACCGGGTGACGTAAGGCGAAATATTTTTTTCGCATGTTCACGCTATTATGCAAAACCCAGTAAGAATCTGACGCTCTATCCGATTGAGCTAGGCGGGCGATAAATTCAGCTTTGACCTGTATCAAGTTGGGAGGGGTGTTTTGTGGGTATGGGTAAGGAGAAGCTTGTGTGAATGCATTATTTTCAACTCATGGGGTCTACTGTCTAGCCATACCCCTTTCCTCAATGAAGCTGAAGGCCAGCTTCGACACATCATGATCCATGCGCCCTGGACACTCGCGCTGAGTATGTTCGGGCTTCACGACTCGCGATTTGATATCAATTCCCTGTCGGGCACCTCTCCCAACTGCCGAGTTCAGTGCCCAGTAAAGCCAAATAAAAAAAATCACTTCTCGGCCTTTCTCCTCATAGCCCACCGCGAGGGTCGAACTCGCAGCCTTCAGATGTACTTTTAGAATAAAAGTCTGACGCTCTATCCGATTGAGCTAGGCGGGCGATATTTACAGCTCTGTACCATGTTGAATTGGGCCACGGTTTCGCGTTTCTAAGTATCCCGAACTCGGATAATCTACAGACTAACAATGTCCACAACCCTTTACTCGTGACTGGAAAAGACAGCTTTGACACGGTTTGCGTCTTGATAGCTCCGCGGAGGACTGAGAAAAATATGTATGAATTCTGGAACATGTTCGAGCTTGACGTCTCCCTCCATTCTCGATTTTGATGTACAATGTCAACGATTCTCGCGAGTCCCGACTCCCGAGCTGCCAAGTGGTTCTTCTAACATGAAGGTACCTTCCGCGGAACTTCGTACTACTGGCAGTTGTTTATTGATTGATGGATGGATGGGGAGGTCACACAACATCATGACCTATAAAAAGCCCATGCCTTCCAAACTGAAAAAGCGTTATATCACGTACAGAAGCCAGAACAAGTCCGCTGAGAATGTGATGGGGACAACTTAGGTCGCGTCCACGGACCCCCTGGTCAGTTGTCGGAAGCGAAAACAGCTTTGATACGGTCCCAAAACTAACTTGTGAGACGGCCATCACCAAAGACTCATGTTGGCTTGGAGAACGCGACTTTTAAGTTTAACTTGAGTATTCCCATTCGTACCGGTCATTGAGGGAAGGGGTGGGTAGAAAGCTTTTCCGTGCCTTCCTGAGTAGGAATCGAATGTCGGACTCCAAACAAGGAACCATAAATTACATCGAGTGTTCAGAAGAGTTACACAGAAAAAAGTCTGTCAGCTTGTTCGACCCAAGTACTCCGTCGAGAATGTAAATGAGGGATATTATCTACCCTAACCAGTTCTCGGATGTTTAAAAGCCAATAGGCAATGGCTGAGAGGACGCGACGTGCGAAACTCGATCTGATGCTCAAATTGCTCCTCGCTGATATACGGATCATTTCTTCCTAGTCTAGTTGTCTTAATTGAGGGGAAGGTCGAACATAGAGTGGTAAAAGGTCTTTCCGTGTTTCGAGTCACTTCGAAGAGCTTGATCAGCAAAATTCTGTTCTGCGACGTCTGTCTCACTCTCACCCTAAATGTCCTACCCCCCATTGAGGTGACGGTAGATTACAAGCTTTTTCTACGTGAAGCTCCCCCGGGAAAAAGCGTTACCAGCGTGGTTTGAAGATCTCACCGCCAAAGTTTTTGTTTGCATCTGTATGGCACAAATACTGTGTAAAAATTATCTGTTAGATTCGGGTGATATGAGATTCGAGTCCAGCCTGCGAGATTGCATTCCTCAGTAGACTTTTTATGGATGAGATTTCCCTCGTGGAATGGATTACAAGAAAATTCGAGCCGGAAGACGTCCCCATTCAAGTGACCTCGAGCGAGATTCAACTCGGGTTCGCGATCCGAGTCGAGTCGACCGTCGAAAGTCCGACTCCAGACAAGGGAATGTTGAGTTGGGGCTGTCTCCCACGCTTCATCCGAGCCACGGGGTAACCCTTCAGAATTCTTCAAATTCATTTATTGCCTTCTTACATAGCTCTGGCCCTAGCATGAGAAAGGTGTGTGCTCGCAAGCTCCACAATCTATCATCCCTTCTCGCCAGAGCCAGAAAAATGAGAATTGCAGCCAGTACAAAACCAGCGGCAAAAAAAAGCCTACAAAGAGCTCCAACCCGTCTCTACCAGCAGTGGCTGCGGTCCAATTATTTTTCCCACCCGTTCCGCCTCCTCGTTTGTACAAACTCAAGAATGAGTAAGGCCCGGGGAGGAGCAAATATTGCCATAAACTGAAATGACATACCACAGTGTTTTGTTAGAGCTACGGTTCATTCAAGCAACCTTAAAAACCCTAAAGAGATGGAACCACGATCTTGACAACAACCTACTGATTTAGTGCGTCAAGAAGCTCCCCCATGGGTAGTTTCTGCCTTGAATTCGCTGATTATGTGTGATCATCCAACGACGACAACGAGGACTTCTCATGTCGGGCAACAGAATCTTCAGTGTGCTATTTTGCAGTGAGACCGTACCATCTTCCAACAAAGAACTGCAAGCTACTGCAAGCAACGAGCAGGAAGGAAAGTTGCCAACCTCCATGCCGGCCGTACCTCACCGGCAGTCAATCGTCCGCGTCAGTAGCTATCAGGACAACATTCGGGAAAAGCGGCATGTCTGCGCTCGCAACGCTACGTGATGAGCTTGACTCCCTTTTCAGTGGTTTTGACTCATATCTCCCCCTGTTTTACGGCATCCCATTCAAATCGAGATGTTTTTCTCTCAAAATTTAGGGAGCTTCAATTGAATATCTGCTGGAAACTCACCTTGCGAGGGAAATCTCACTCATGGAAAGTCCGTCAAAAAGGAAATCTCACAGGCTGGACTCGAATCTCATATCACCCGAATCTCACAGATAATTTTTACACAGTATTTGTGCCATACATCTGTGAGATTTCCTTTTTGACGGACTTTCCATGAGTGAGATTTCCCTCGCAAGGTGAGTTTCCAGCAGATATTCAATTGAAGCTCCCTAAATTTTGAGAGAAAAACATCTCGATTTGAATGGGATGCCGTAAAACAGGGGGAGATATGAGTCAAAACCACTGAAAAGGGAGTCAAGCTCATCACGTAGCGTTGCGAGCGCAGACATGCCGCTTTTCCCGAATGTTGTCCTGATAGCTACTGACGCGGACGATTGACTGCCGGTGAGGTACGGCCGGCATGGAGGTTGGCAACTTTCCTTCCTGCTCGTTGCTTGCAGTAGCTTGCAGTTCTTTGTTGGAAGATGGTACGGTCTCACTGCAAAATAGCACACTGAAGATTCTGTTGCCCGACATGAGAAGTCCTCGTTGTCGTCGTTGGATGATCACACATAATCAGCGAATTCAAGGCAGAAACTACCCATGGGGGAGCTTCTTGACGCACTAAATCAGTAGGTTGTTGTCAAGATCGTGGTTCCATCTCTTTAGGGTTTTTAAGGTTGCTTGAATGAACCGTAGCTCTAACAAAACACTGTGGTATGTCATTTCAGTTTATGGCAATATTTGCTCCTCCCCGGGCCTTACTCATTCTTGAGTTTGTACAAACGAGGAGGCGGAACGGGTGGGAAAAATAATTGGACCGCAGCCACTGCTGGTAGAGACGGGTTGGAGCTCTTTGTAGGCTTTTTTTTGCCGCTGGTTTTGTACTGGCTGCAATTCTCATTTTTCTGGCTCTGGCGAGAAGGGATGATAGATTGTGGAGCTTGCGAGCACACACCTTTCTCATGCTAGGGCCAGAGCTATGTAAGAAGGCAATAAATGAATTTGAAGAATTCTGAAGGGTTACCCCGTGGCTCGGATGAAGCGTGGGAGACAGCCCCAACTCAACATTCCCTTGTCTGGAGTCGGACTTTCGACGGTCGACTCGACTCGGATCGCGAACCCGAGTTGAATCTCGCTCGAGGTCACTTGAATGGGGACGTCTTCCGGCTCGAATTTTCTTGTAATCCATTCCACGAGGGAAATCTCATCCATAAAAAGTCTACTGAGGAATGCAATCTCGCAGGCTGGACTCGAATCTCATATCACCCGAATCTAACAGATAATTTTTACACAGTATTTGTGCCATACAGATGCAAAGAGAGAGAGAGCTAGCCCAGTTAGTGGGCTTCTTCGGGGCTCACAGGAAGTTCCGCAACCGTTTGTCTCGACGTACTTTACCACCCCGGCCGGCATGCCAAGGTACAACAAGGGCGAACGACAACTGAATTGAAATTCCCGAGTTTTGCCTGTTAGGCGATACCCCTTTTTGGCTGTATTATCAGAGAGTGGAGGAGAGTAGTCAGTAGGCAATTGATCGATTGGTATCCGCTTTTCTTTTCAGGTTATGACAATCCAAAAAAAAGAAAACATTGGGATTGCAAATACATAGCCCACCACGAGGGTCAAACTCGCAGCCTTCAGATCACTCAATGTTACATAGCCCATGAAAGTCTGACGCTCTATCCGATTGAGCTAGGCAGGCAATATAGACAGCTTTGACCGCCGTTAAAATCGTCAGAGGGTCGCAGCTACTCGGGTTATTTCCGACTCAGTTTCCCACAACTCTTTTCGATTCGATAGACACGGTCTACGGTCCATCCATGATTCATCGGGCTCAGGCCGAAGACTGAGATGTTCGGACCTCACGTCTCTTCCGTTTTTGATTTGATCCCGATTGACAATTCCCGTATAGAAGTAGAGGGAGACCCAACGGTCCGTCTGCAACGTCTATGCTCCGAGACTGTCTTGAACTCTCAAAGTTATAGAATTTCCCCAATGTCGTGATACAGAGGCGTATCTCTCAAGTCGTCAACGGTGGGGCGTGGGTGAGGTTATTTCGTTTGTGAAGGGAGAGACAAATCCTTGTAGCATGACAGCTCATGACTCACGAGGGTCGTGTTGTGGAACGACTCGAACTGTGATCTGTGGGGGTCATCCGAGAGTCCCCACTCCTGGTTTACTTACGGCAACCTTCTTCTTATTCCGAACTGGGTGGGTTGATCTGGGGAAACATTATCCTCCTAGACAGTGTTTGACCGTGCTCCCACTCTCGCCATCCAGAAAGTATCGGAGGGAAAAAAACACGTACCCAGAAACACATAGCCCACTGCAAGGGTCGAACTCGCAGCCTTCAGATCACCCAATGCCATCATCACTATAAGAGTCTGACGCTCTATCCGATTGAGCTAGGCGGGCGATATAAACAGCTTTGACCGTGTAGAGTTGAGCCGCGGTTTCGCGTCAAGTTAGTATCCCGATTCAGAAGATCCTACAGGCCACGTCCATTTCAACGTCTACAGCGCTTTACTCGAAGGAGAAGGCAGTTTGCGGGTATCATGATTCATGATACGTACTCGCGTTCCCTGAGGCGCAGAGAGCCCCAGGACTGAGAAAAAGTACTCAAGCAAGTGTGTATGAGATTGAGACTCAAAGCTTGACGTTTCCTCCATCTCCTGATCTTGATGTCAATGACAATTCCCATAGAATCGTCCAAGGTGGGACAATTCTCCTGAGCTATTCTTGTAACTAAGAAAGTATCTTCCGCGGATTTAACTTCGTACTACTGGTAGTTGTTTGTTGAGTTGGATGGATGGGGAGGAAAAAGGCGATCGGGAGGGTAGACAACATTTCCTTAGTCTATGTAGACGGAGGCGGCTGGTATCGCGACCTATAAAAAGTCCATCAAAAAAGTGTTATATTGCGTACAGAACAAAGTCCGCCGAGAATGTGATGGGGTCTAGTTGTAGCTTCGATACGACGGTGCTAGTAAGTAAAGTCCATGACCATCACCAAAGACTCGTGTTAGCTTGGAGAACGCGACTTGTCGATGTCAACTCGAGTATTCTCGCTCGTACGGTAAGTAAAGAGGGTGCGGTAGAAAGCTTTTCCGTGCCTTCGTGACTATCCTAGGCTGAGTAGGGGGAAAGTCAATGTCCGACTCCAAAACAAGGAACCAAAAAATTACATCGGTGTTCAGAAGAAGGTAGTCCAGATACACACAAAAAAGTCTGTCAGCTTGTTCGACCCAAGTACTCCGCCGCAGAATGTAACTGGGTATCGTCGATGCGGAACCCCTGACCAGTTCTCGGATATCCAAAGCCAAGCCAGTTTTTGACACAGGGCAAAGGATCATACTTATTCGACGCGACTTGCCACTCGATATGATGCCAATCACTCCCGCTGATATACGGATCATTTCTTCCTAGTCTAGTTGTCTTAATTGAGGGGAAGGTCGTATGATAGCGTGGTAAAAGGGTCTTTCCGCCTAAGAGCTTGCTGCTTGATCACCAAATTCAGTTCTCCGACGTCCGATCCTTGGATCTCACCGACAAGTTTGTTTTTTTTTTGTTTGCAGCTGCGGAAAGAGAGTCCTGGTTAGAGCATGAATTTGAGGCTCACAAGGAGTCTAAGTAGTTTGATTGAATGTTTTCGATGTACGACACTCCATTGAGGGTCAAAACATACTTTGATAATTTCCCAAAAAATATCTGCACCCATCACATGGTCAATAGCCCACCGCGAGGGTCGAACTCGCAGCCTTCAGATCACCCCTTGTCTTGGTCCGGCTAGGTATAAGAGTCTGACGCTCTATCCGATTGAGCTAGGCGGGTGATATAAACAGCTTTGACCGCAGCTACCTTTCATGCCACAACTCTTCTCCGATTCAAATATACTTACCAGCTTTGACACGATGATTCATGATGCCTTGGACACTCGCGTTCCGCGGGGCTCACAGTGACAGGTCCAGGAGAAAAAAGATGTTCGGGGCTTCACGCTCTCTTCCATTACTGATTATTATTTTTATTTTTTTTTCGATTTGATGCCAATGCTAATGTCAATCAGACCCGTTGGATGATTCTCCCGAGCTAGCTGCCAAGCAAGTCGTTCGTTTGTGAACAGCGGAATGGGCATTGTATCTCCCGCGGAACGTCGTTTATTGTCGATTGATGGATAGGTGGGGGAAGGAAGGTACAGGGGGAAAGTCGCGCGTGCCTTCCAACTTGCAAGAAAGAGTGGCTGATATGTATTGCGTACAACAAGTCTTCTAGCTTCTTCGTACACTTTGTGGTTCTTATACATACACATACATCAGAGGTATAAATAAAAGAGAGAGAGAAGAAAGAATGAACGAACGTCTTGTATGTAAATAACGGGGTATGATAGGGGTATACTGGGGTCATGAACAGTCGTAGAAGAAGGGGGTGGGTATCACATCATGGCAAACGTCACTCCATTTCCGATACCACCGCCGGATTGAGGGTGGGTCGACCATCCCGCCTCGAACGGCTGGGGATAGAGCGGAAGAGGAGGGCTAGCGCTTCCACTGGACGTCATCGAAGCCATCGAGTTTGACCTGTCTCGTCGCTGCTGGTGGTGGTGGTGGTACTGGGGAGGAGGAGGAGGCTGTTGTTGTTGTTGGATGGGAAACTTGTCATACGGGAGATTGTGATGATGATGATATTCAGTGTACCCATCAAACGATCCAGGCGTAGCAATCATAGGAAGTGACTGTGGATGATGCGAGAACGGTGGTCGTTGTTGCTGTTGTGGTTGTTGTGGTTGTTGCTGTTGTTGCTGTGGTTGGTGGGGATAAACCGGATACCCACCCATCGCCGTCGTCGTCGCCGCCGCCGCCGTCGGTCCAGCAGCCATCATCATTCTCTGCTGTTCCTCAACACCAATCGCACCACCACTTTCCTCATCTTCATCACCATACAACCCATCCTCATCCTCATCACCACCACTCGTCATAATAGGAATAACCTCCAACTCCTGATTCAACACCATCGAAAATCCATCCCCTCTCACAGGTTCCTCAACCCTCGAAATCCCCGCCCGATCTCTCCACTCGTTGAGCTCGTGCCTCAACTGATCAGCTTCCAGTTTAATCATCCTCAACTCACGCGAGGCGAGGACACGGTGTCGACGGGAAGCGTGGATATGTGCGATAGACGAGTTGACGATCGCGGATTTGGAGGGCCGTCGGATTTGCGAGAGGTTTGGGAGCATTTTGGCGAGGTCCTGTGGAAGTAGAAACGCGTAAGTGAGTTGGGTCCATGAAGCCGACGAATCCGAGAGAGGCTGACCAAGAATCTCCCGTTTAATGTTTCCCTTCTGGCGCGTTCGACGGCGTTGTGAGTCGCTCGACGTTCGGCGGTGTTGGCTCTTCTTGATGATTTTTTGAGGCTCTTTCCGGTTCCATTCGTGGTGGTGTGGGGGGTGGGCGAAACGGGCGTTCTAGGCCCAGAAGACGACTCATCCGTTGAAGAAGGGGACAAGGCAGTTGGTGGGAGCGTAGAGCCAGCGCCAGAGGGGATGACGAGTGGGAGCGTCATTATCATGTAGTGGGGGAGTGTTCGCGAGCTGGGCTCAAGCGAGTGCGAGCGTGTTTGTTGTGTTTTTTGGTTGCGGAAGAGGTGAGGTCGGCAAGGGTCGCGAGATCTATGTCATCTTTAGTTCCTGAGCAAACGACGCAACTGTACCACTCACACCAAGCGTTATCCTTGACACGACGAGGGGAGGGAGGGAGGGAGGAAGTAGAAGAAGGAGAAGAGGAACAAGGGACCAATTTGGGTGAGCTGAGGCGATTTCGCCAGGGGATCCAGGTATATATAAACATCCAGATCAATTTGATGGGCAGATCTCATTGCCAGATCTCCCCGGCCTTCCCCATCATCCGGTCAACTGACCGACCAAACAAAAACGCTGGGTAGTTTGTCGCCATCACCCATTCTCTGAATCCTGCGTCCTTGTTGTCCTCGGGGATGACGAAAGTGCGGTTGTGTCAGTATTATTCTCCCAGAAGATGAACTGCCACGGGAGTATGTAACGCCAATTTGTCTGGGTCTCTTTGCCTCGAGGTGGCAACTCGTCACTCGTCGCCAAGCACCTGTGATCCAGGCCTGATCTTCCACAAAGAAAAATAAAAAAAAAAGTCCCGTTCAGGGTAGTAACCAGGTCAGAAGAGAGAACAAAGCCTCATTGTCACTTTGCGTCAGAACCTCAAGAGGGAACGCTGAGGGTGTCAAAGCATCCAAAGCATCCTCTCTGACTCCAATCCATCACCCAATCATGAACTGATTCTCCCGGAAGGAAGGAAGGAAGGAAGGAAGGACGACAGGGGGATACAACGCCCAATATCCGCCGGCAGAACACCCAAACTCTCTTTCATAATCATTCACCCACTCAGAGAGAGAGAGAGAAGGGGTACAAAAGGCCAAAGCAGTCCAACGCCGGTCGACTCGGAACGTCTGCAAATGAAGCGAGAAGTTCATCCCCAGATTCGAGAATCAAGGAAAGCGCCTAATATCATATACATGAATAGGGGGATGCAAGTTAGAACGACTAATATCCGCCGCAGGAAGAAGAGCTTCAGGGCCGTTCTACTACATACTATGCTAATTCATGTACCCCGCTCCCAGATATGAAGCGACAGTCAAATACCCAGCCAAATAGCTCGTTGTCCTGTAGTCTTTGCGAGACTGATCTTGTTTTCATCAAATAGAAGACACAGCTGGGCGTGAATATTATTTTTGCACGGAAATATGCCAGAAAAATATGACGCCTCACAGTTCAACACATATTCAGTCTGAAGATATTCAAAATTGAATTGAATTCCGCATATTTGGCAGCACAAATACTCACCGGAAAGTAAGGCGTCATATTTCTGCTTCATATTCCGCAACAAAATAAGTTTTTGCCCCAGCTGTGAGAGGGTCAAAGCATCGAGTTTCGAAGATTCTTCCCGGACCACCCGGGACATAAGTACCCAACTCCAACGTCAAAGAAAAACATAGGGGGAGGGGGGTTGGAAGGTGTGATATCCGCAGCCGGTAGAAGATCCGTTCTAGAGGGCTAGTGTAAAAGTCGACACTTTCCATCTCCGAGTTCCATGTACCCCGCCTCGTCGCTCGATCGTCGGCTTACAAGTTCCGGTGACTAATGACAGACAGACAGACTTGGCGTTTTTGTCAGGATTCGAGGGGGTGTGATGGCGGGACTCTGGTTACTTACGTCGAAAGATATGGGGAGGGGAGCCGGAGGACTATAGAGCGCTCAAGTGAAACGTGTTGGGCCGAGTCGGAGCCTGCCTTGGAAATATATACACACGGCTCACAACTAGGTTCGGACTCTGAGTTGAATCATCATATGTACAGCGAGCGACATGGGAGTTACGGTGGGAACGTGACTACTAGAAAATCATCAAAAGTCTTAGTTTCGTCGATCCCCACCAAATCACCGCTGTTGCCTGTCTGATCGTGTTTGGGGTGTTTGGAGAGTTACAAGGATCCGAGTCTTCCTATGTTTGAGCTCACTCGAGATAGGTACGGGTATTAGAGTCCTGAAAACCCGTCACCTGAGATACGAACCTGAACTCAACTCAGCAACTCGGTGTGTTGAGAGTAACACGTGAAACTTTCTTCCTGGGATAGTAAAGACCTACTTCATGTCGGCGGTACTACACCTACGAGTGATTGAACTGGTGCTAGTGCTAGCTCACCGTAGGTTACGGTACTACAAATAGTCCGAAATAATCGACGATCGATGATGACAGCGGTGTTGCTTTGACCGGCTATGGCGCCGTTGGACTCTGAATCACTCACTAATTATATGTGATGCTTCTACTGTATCCCGATGTATAAGAAAGAACCGACTGAGCGGTTTGGAGAATCCAATTCTCGGGTGTCACAGTCTCGAGTGGGACAGTTATGAGTCATTTGTTGCCTTTGACTATGTATGATTCCCGAGACTTGGAGGCGCATCTCTGCTCTGTTTTTTTCTTCTTCTTTGCTTTCGTTCTTGAACGACCCGACCCGAAATGGTCCTCCAGACAACACAGCCTAAATCTTCCCCCCCTCGATGCATCTGATCCGCCAGACGGGACCTACCAAAGCGATACCAGGGGGTCCCAGAGAATGTATCTCCGGTTGGTCAGTCATCTGTTCGTAGGATCTTCTAACCAGTACAACCGTCTCATCTCACCAAACCTCGGTCGTCGCATTTCAACTAAGAACTGATAAAATCACACCAAGTGTGTAGGTAAGTACGTAGTCCACTTTAAGAAAAAAAAATCCCGAACTGAAAGTGGGTTAGATCGTGGAAGAGTTGTGATTTTCCGAGTCGGAACGCTCTGCCTGCCTTGAAACTGCCCAGTGTCCTTGCCATTCCGAGTCGTAAGCTATAGGTAAACCCCAGAGGACTTGTCGTGCTTAGTGGATCCGACAGCTTTGTAGGGTTGTGCCAAGTTATCGACGTCTCGAGGGGTAGTATCATTCCTCGGTGACCACCGGGTGAGTGGAGTATCATACCCGAAAAAAAAGCTATACATAATGCACCAGATCGACTTCCCGAATTTCAATGTGTATCGCTCAGGCTGCGCTGCAGACTGAGAACCTGAGCTTGTACTATGTAGAGAATTTTCCCCCCTCGCCTTTTCTGATCATCGATCATATAGTACTAGTACGTATAGGTAATTATTGGTAGCTCGCCACTTGGAGGTGCTGTAGCACCGATAATTCTTGTTTGGACGAGATGATCATACAGGAAATCTCACTGTGTCTCGGATTTTAGGACTCGAATGCCTATCCTTATTACTATCTCGAGTGAGGTC